CCCGCGAGCCATAGTTTGAGGACGCCTGGTGTAGAGTGCTGTTTTTGAAGACACTGCCAATCTGGCATGCCCGTCGACTGCCGCCTCCGTAGATCTGCAGGGTGGTCGTGGTCACACCCTTCTCACCCACTGCCACAGAGCGACTGAAGCCTTGGACTCTACGACTGCGGACAGTTGAAATCTGAAAGTGCATTTTGTTGGAATTGCCGTTCCTCGGGGTTCTTTTCTCACTATAACATACGCAGACCTTGATTCGACAGAAAGCCAGGAAAATGGACTTGCTAGAGGCAGGCATCCCTGCTTTGTTTTGTTTATGGCTGGCACAGGCTCTGTCCCGGAAGGTCCGCCTGCTTCCGCTCCATTGAAGACTGTGCTCTCAGGTCCACTGGGTAGAATGAGGCCAGGTGTGCCGATGGACACGGGGTAGCTTTAGTAATCAACATCAGCCATCTAGCTGAAAGCTGAGGGTCACAGTTCGTGGATAGGAGGCATGTATTGGGCCCTTCAGTCCCCTCTGGGGACTACACCCCCAGATTCACACCCACTGCCATCAAGTTGATTCCAAATGTTAGTGACCCCATGTGACAGAGTAGAATCGTCCCCTAGGGTTTCCAAGACAAGGTCTCTACAGGAGCAGACAGCTAAGGAGTGCACAGTGCTGACCTTGTCACACCCACTACCCTCAAGTTGAGGGCTTCCTGAGGCTGTACATCTTTCCAGGAGCTGGGAAACCCGATCTCTCGCCCTTGGGGGTGCAGGCGGGTTTGCCCTACCAACCTTGCATTGGCAGTTCAGCACAGCCAGAGCTGCTTTCTTGGGGGACCAAAACCAAACCAAGCGCTCGGGTCCAGTTGGTACCAATGCATAGAGACCCTAAGGACAGGGTAGAGCTGCCCCTGTGAGCTTCTGAAATGGCTTTCTTCCCTGGGACGGCTGGTGGTCTCAAACTGCCAGCCTTGCAGATGCAGCCCATCTGAGAACGACAACGCTACCAGGGCACCTCTCTCTCTCTCTCTCTCTCTCTCTGGTTACTGTTTCATTTAAATACCACTGGTTCTGTCAGAATCTTGTGATGCAGAGAGGAAACTCCCCAGTGAGTGCTCACACACAATGGGAGCACATGCTTCAGAAAAGCAGTGGAGGAGGAGGAGGTGGGGGTTCACAGTTAAACAAAGCTAAGGGCAGTCCTTGTTAGAAACCACACAAAGCATATACAAATATTTCTCTGAATGCATAGATTAAGACTTCCAGGTCCCCTCAACACCTATACGCTCTTGCCCCACTGCCAAATGCGGAAACTTGGACTGCAGAAGCCTCTCTCCCGGAGAAGGGACGCCGTTGCCAGTCAGGGCCAGCCCAGGGCCGGCTCTCACCTGAGACAACATAACCCTGGTGCCCGTCTCTAACCTGGGAGACACCCTTGTAGGTCTGGGTTAATCTTGTCAATCTCCTCCCCGCCGGCCTTGTCCTACTTCTGAGTCTCTCTCTGTAATGTTGTCTGCATGGAGTTTTAAGTGACTCAGATATGAATGAATGACTACTGAGTTTATTTCCCCCAAGTTAGAACCAGCCTCTTGTAAAACAAAGACACCCCCCCCAAAAAAAAAAAAAATCACCAGTACCCCTAGGTGAGCTGGCTTCTGATTGACGGAAACACATGGGCACCCTCTTCTTGAAAGAGAGGAGCTGAAGTCACCTTCATTCTGCTCTGCCTCAGTAATTGGTGGAACACAATTAAGTCACCAAACAGCTTGATTCCCTGAAGTTTTCCTTGAAAACCCCACAGCCTCCGCTCGGCATTTAGGAGGCCATGTTTTGCCTGCAGTCAAAAGGATCAGGAGGCCATGACCGTAGCCCTGCGTTCACCGCCACTGACACCTGCATGTTCTCCCTCGGCTGTCGTTCCAATAAAATGAAGTTCACACAGTTAGAAGGTCTGTGTTGTTGGGAACTGTAGGCACTATGGAAAAAGCCTCTGTGGGCCGCAGGGATGTTCTTGACCGCTGCTCAGAGGCCCTGCAGGGCACCATTCTGTGGGAGGCAGTAGTTTGTGCTAAGGTCCTCCAGGGCTCCAGAGGGTTGGCGTTAAGCTCTGCTTAAACGGCTTCCCCACAAGGAATGATGCTTGGCCTGGGACTCCTGCGCAGCGGCCTGGCTTATTACAGCAAGATCATCTCAAAGACATGAACTGCCCTTGCTGCTGTTGTATCACTTCCCGGTGTAGCGTGTACAGGTTCTAGTTAGAAGCTGAATATTGAGGAATTAGGTAATGAAAGTGGGCCTGGGATCTCAAAAAGTAATAGTAAATGCATTAAAAGACCAGGCCATGTTTCGCTTGCAGTTAAAAGGAACTATTGTTTCCTTCTCCAGCAGCTGTTTGGACTATGTTTTAAAATGCCCATTTCCCTTTTTAAAAAAGCCCCCCTGCCACAGAGCCACTTCTGCCTCTTGCTCAGCTCTGTAGGCTAATGTAGAGATTGGTGCCTGTGCTGAGGAGGCTGTCCGTCGCCACAGACACGCGGCTGTATTTGCCTCCCTTGGAGCAGCGGATGGGTTAGAAACGGCCACCTCTGGGTTGACAGCCCCGCACTTAACCCATGCACTCCCAGGGCACCTCTTCACATACACTCAATTCCATTAATAGGCCTAATTTGAAAACACAGCCTCAAATGGCTGCCACCACAAACAGCGAGTGTTCTAAAGACTAGTGGTGGCCAGTTTGCCATTAATGATGACTTGTCCCAGTTTTAGGAGCTTGTGGGTGTGGGCTGTGACATGGGGTCCTTATTATATCCTGGGGAGCCTGCCCCAGAGTGTCTTCAGCGTGCCTTGCTCAGCAGGTCTCAGCGCCCGCCGCTCACCTCACTCAGGGGAAAGGTATTTGGACCTGGGGCTGGCACATCAAGGTTCCCCCCTGGGCATCAGTCAAGATCGACGACCTGGAACCAGGGAGGCGGGGCTCTTGCCCACACTTCATTTCCTGTCTATGACACCTCCGACCATGACATTCAGCTGGGGTTTGTATTACAGCTTCTGTGGAGAGGAGGTTTCACGCCTTTTTGTGTTTTTAAAAACGTTGATGCTGTGGTAGCATTTCCTTGAGTCAGCAACAAGAATAAAGCCGCTTGGGCTAAGAGGTGCCCCTCCAGGGTCTATGCAGCATCAGGACCACGCCGATGCGGGGTGCAGAGCCGTGCTTCTGTCTGGAGCACTCACGCGCATCCCGATGGCCCAGACCCATCCTGACTCGTGTGGTAGAGTAGAACTCTGGTGGTTTCTTGGCTATCTTCCTAACCAGTTGTCATGCCCAGCTTCTGCAGTGCCTCTGGGTGGGTTCAATGCCCACCCCTTGGGTTTAGTAGCCGAGCAGAAACCATGCACACCACCCAGGCAGCATTTGAAGGGATGGAGAAGGGGGCATGCGGGTCCCGATTCCCTGCCAATCAGAGCCAGCGCCCGACTGAATGGACTTTGTTAGTGGCTTGGGAGCGTCCGCATTCCTGCCTGCTTTCCTGAACTTCTGGTTTGCAAAGGAGTGACAAGTGTCTTCTGTGGCTGCCCTCGTTTTCCATCCACTTCAGCAGCGATGCCCACAGCCAGCATAGCCCTGCTCTCTAACCAGCATAGTGAAGCACGTTTCCAGAAACCTCCCTAAAACTTGTGTTTGAAGAAGCAAATTTAAACCTCAAGATTGCTGCAGCTGTTGGTATGTGGCTTGATAGAGACGTGTGCTCTGGGGCAGAGGTAGGGCCTTGAAGAGAGGCCTGCACTGGTCCTCGGAATCCCAGGAATCGACCTGCCCAATGTGATGGGGCTGCCCAGAGACAGCCCTGCGCCTGCCCCTGGCCACCTACTTGAGTGTAGGGAGTTGAAATGTCTGAATACAAACAAGTCCTTGCAGGAAAGTGCACAGATGTGTGGATGCTACTTGATGAGTCCACAGGTTACACATCTGGCAAAACAACTTAAAAAAACCCTTTTAGACACTTTGGCCCTGTTGCTTACTCTCTCCCCTCTTCCATGAGTGCTCCGGCCTAGCATCAGCGGCCTCCCCCCTGTGTCTGCCCCCTCTACACCTTGAGGCCCACTCATTGGGACACCAGCCAGACCGATCAGACCCTCTCATACTCTGCCAGCCCCCTTCTGGCGGGAGGTGCCCTTTCTTTTACTTCCAGGTTTATTATAGACCGGGGTTGAGTTGGGGGTGGAGTGGGTGGGAACTTTCACAAGTTTATCGGAAAGTGGAATGGAATTTTTTCACAAACCTTGTGAGGCCCTGTAGTATACATTTTCCCAATTAAATCAGGTTTTTAGTATCTGACCCTAAACCTAGGAGAGTGCCATTCCAGTAGGATCCACAGGCATAGATCTGCCTTGACGCATTCAGCAGGAAGGCTGCCCACTGCATGCCCTCCCGCCTGGGTAGCATCCTCAGCGGTCTGGTGTCCTTTGAGGGCCACAAGGGAGCAAATTCTTAGAGTTGGCTTGGGTGGCATTTTCTGCCATGCATCTGTTGTTTTTTTGCAAGCCATCCCATGAGGCCGGCGGGTCTGTGTTTGGCTGAGACCAGCACTCCACTGCGTTTACACAATTTGCTCTCTTGTTTTGTAGCTCCGGACATCTCTGGGGAAAGGAAGAGCATTTATCCGCTACTCCTTGGTGCACCAGAGACTGGCAGACACCTTACAGCAGTGCTTCATGAACACCAAAGTCACCAGGTGAGTCTTCAGACCCGACAGGGACCATCTAAAGCCCCTCCTGAGCAGTGAGCGCTGCCCGTCTGTGCTGCGCCTTGGCCTGTGGGGAATCCAGCGTCCACTTTGTTTCCTGTTCCTCTACCCATGCCTGGCAGCTGGCACTGGGTTTTGACAGCTGAGGAAAGTGAGGCTCAGAGAGGCCGCTGGAGCTCAGACGCAGGCCTCTTGGTTTCTGGGTGCCCGTGGGCAGGCCCGCCCTGGGTTGCTCTGTTGGCCTCTCTGCAGTCACTTGGGGGCTTTCCTCCCCTGAGTCCCCAGGGGTCTCAGCTTCCCGGAGACTGACAGGCACCCCAGACCGCAGGCCGCTGTGGAGCTGTGGAGCTCGAGTTGTTCATGGAGGTCAGCTAGTACCGGGGCACAGGAAGGAGGCGGGGATGGAATGTATGAGGGAAGAGGGAGGGATCGGCTAAGGAGCTGCAAACCCAGAACCAGCCACTGGAGCTCCCTCGACACCTCTTTTCCAGCTTTGTGGCCCCTACCTCCCACCCACACACCCACCAGAAGGAGCATTTCCTTCCATCTGCTCTAAGACTGACCAACAGGAAGATGTGTATCGTGTGTGTGGTTGAGAGCGTGTGCACATTTGGTTTTAAGGGTATTTTGTTCCCGTATTGATCGGTGAAGCTCGTCAAAAACATCTGGTTTCTCGTGTTCACCCACATCAGCCAAGTAGATCTGTGAGCGCCTCCGTGTCGATCTGCCTTGGCTCTTGTCGCCTCCCTCACCTGCAGCGAGGTCACCACCACTTCAAACGCTCAGATAGCGTCTTTGGTTCATGATTGTGTTCCTTGCCTGTTATGTGGGTGTCTAGACAAACCAGCGGTGTGTTCAGGGCCCCGGGTTGAGTTCTGGAGAAGTCGAAGCTGCGAGGTGGTTTTTCCACAAAGAGCCCCACTCCCCAAGGACTCCTTCCTTGATTGAGATTTGAAGGCATATCACATCGTTTGGGGGAAATCGGCATCATGTGAATAATAAACGGGCACATAACCAGGTCATTCCAATGACGCCTTTGAAGAAGAACAAGGCTATTGGAGAGTTATGTATTCCCACAGCCAAAATCAAAATCGGTGTGTGTATGTGGGTGCATTTAGCAAAATGAGTTGGAATTTGACGCGGCCGAGCCGCACTGGGAAATGGAGTGAATTTGCTCGCTCTGTCCTCTGCGGTCCACACATCTTTGTGTTTTCCAACAGTGACTGGTACTACGCCCGAAGCCCGTTTCTGAAGCCGAAGCTGAGCTCAGACATTGTGGGCCAGCTGTACGAGCTGACCGAGGTGCACTTTGACCTGGCGTCCAGGGGCTACGACTTGGACGCCGCCTGGCCGACATTTGCCAGGTACTTGGCAGAACCGTTGCTTTTGAAAGACACGGGAGAGAAGGGCACGGGGTTTCTGAAGTTTGTCACCCACCAAACGCAGTTGGGCTTGCAAAGGAAAATACATAAAGTCAAAAGCCTCGCAACCTTCCCGCTTTCTCCACCTTGATGCCTCCTGCCTGGCCAGAACACCTGCAGACCCCCAGCTTTAAACCGCCCTCGCTGGCCAGCTGGCGGGAGGCCCAGGAGAGGCCAACCCCAAACCTCAGGCTTTTACATTTGGGAGACATTTGATGGTGGCTTGGGTGAAAGTTTACAGAGCTTATGAGGGGAAGAGCCTGGTGCAGTAAAACCCCGCTTCGCTGGAAATGCTGCAGAGGGAGGGAGGGCAGCACACCAGACTTGTCCACCTAGACTCGCCAAGGCCCGATAGAGCTTTCTGCCGTGCGGATCTGTTCTCCTATCTGCACCGCCCAGTGCAGGAGCTCGGACTAGAAGCACGGCTTGCTGATGTATTGTGTGTGTCACAGAAAGCAGTGACCATGAGCCCTTTCAAATACGTCAACGGCTACTGGTTCCTCACAAGCAGACAGGACGACACTGTTATCAGAACCAGCTTCCAGTGGAAGGTTCTTTCGGTGCTCACTAAGTAACCACGTAGGGAGCCAAGCTTTCTGTGCCGGCAGAGAAGTGCCTTGTAAAGGGCGTGAAAAAAGGCGTATGGGACGGAGACGTGTCATGCAAAGGGAGACCCGGGGGAGGCAACACAGACAGCGTCCCACCAAACAAGGGAAACCAGAGAAATGAAACGCCCTACCATCGAGTCAGTGCCAACTGGTGGCAGCCCTGTAGGGCAGGTAGAACCGGCCCAGAGAGTCCCTGAGACCTTGCAGGAGTAGACAGCCCCATCCTTCTCACTCGGAACGGCAGTGGTTTCAACCTGCTGATCTTGGGGATCACAGCCTAGCCACTGTAACCATTGCATGTGCGTTTAAGTGGGAATGACATGTTTAGTCATGAGAAGAGGTGGGAAAGTCCAGCAATTGAGCTCACCTGGGTGGAGTTAGGGTAGTTGGTTGCACACAATGGCAGGCGTTTGCCATGGGGTCTGCAGCCTACACTGGGGCTGCCTTCACCTGGGACAGTCACCTGGTACAGCCCCGTTACAGGTTCTAGTCCTCTACCTGGGAGCTTTGTTTTTGGGTTCAACTCAAGGCTACAGGTGTGTGGGCCGCCATGTTCAATCTGAGCTGGCCAAATGCAGGCTTTGTAAAGCTAGGGAGTGGGAAGAAAGGCACATTGGTTTTGCAAGAAAGGGGAAGAAACTGAAAATGACAGGCCATCATAACAGGCCGCAAGTTTACAAGGGAACTGGGTGTGAGGTGTGGTCAGGCCCATCTCTGTCGACCTGGGAACATTTCTCAGTCATTCAAACTTGAGGTAAGAGGGTGGAAGTGCCCAGCCTCTTTCCTAACCTGTCTCAGCAAGTATTAAATATTTAGGGAAAAGTTAAACCCCAAATTAGGAAATGCGTGCTAAATTTATTTTCAATTTTGAAGGGGTGGGCCAGGCCAACCTGAATGTGCTCCCTGAGGAACACGGTGGGGCTTTACCTCCACACACCCGAGCGGGAAAGCAAGGCCTCCTCCCATCCCCTGGCTGCATGCGTGCAGGTGTGCGGGCAATTGATTTTCTGCTCCAAGTACAAGTATGCGTATTGTGTGACCCCACAGGAGGACTCTGGCTCTCAGCTCCTCTGCGTACCTGTGGAAACCTCCCAGCCGAACCTCCAGCATGAGCAGCTTGGTGAGCAGTTACCTACAGGTAATGGCAGAAAGGATGCATTAGCCAGGTGATGCCCCTGCCCCCAGCAGCCCACAGGTGATGTCAGCTACCTATTGTTTGAACCCAGTGGTTCCAGAGCTCCTCCACCTTCCTAATGGTGACCCTTTAGTACAGTTCCTCAGGTTGTGGTGTGTCCCCCCAGCCATAAAATTATTTTCGTTGCTACTTCATAACTGTAATTTTGCTACTGTTATGCATCGGGCGATCCCTGTGAAAGGATCGTTCAACCCTCAAAGGGGTCACAACCGACTGGTTGAGACCAGAGCAGTCTGACTCCTGGGTTATATGCACAATTTCTTCAAGCCAGGATTTTTACAACTAGTACTAAGTAAGTTATTTTTAAAGCTTTTTGTGGAAGCCGTTTAAGGGAGTCCAATTCTGACACTGACTCCCTCGGCTCTTTGGCCGGGGCGATTATTGCTCTCTCCTCCAGAAGGTGGGGGGGCAGTAGCACAGCCATGCTGGCCCCGAGGTGGCTGCGGGGAGGGATGGGTGAACACGTGCAGTGCTGAAGGGCGTCGGCAAGGGCACTCAAGAAAGTTAGTGGGTTAGGTTTGGTTATTTTTGTTAAAAACATGAATGTGTCCTTCCCAGCTGTATATAGATGTGTGGAAAAGAGTACTGATATTAATCAATAATAGAAATTAAACGAATGATTCCTATAAGAAGCATTAAGAATTGGTCTCCAATTGGAGCAACAGAGGCAGAGAGAACATCGGGAACAGGAGGAGGATGTGGACTGTGGACCATTGCCTCCTGGAACAGCCACCTCCTTTGTTTGCGTTGATTGAGGTCAGAAAAGCTGGGTGGTGCCCAGCTACCCTGACCAAATGTGGGGAAATGTAGGGCAGAATTGAAAAATCTCCTGGGCTTCTCCCAACTTTCTGGAGCCACAGAGGCTGGACATGCTTCTAAAACGATGGCCCTGAGATACCCGCAGTCACCTTAGCCCTGAGCGATGGTTTAGCATAAGTAGTGGGAAGGCCAGCCTCGAGCAGCCTGCTCCTTTAAGAACTCTGGGACCAGGCCGACCGCAGCAGTTGGGGAGATTGCAGAGAGGAATCGAGGGGCCGTGCATTTGTCCCTGAGGCACAACTCAGAAAAGCAGGGTGGGAAGGGTTGCACCAGAAGTAACCAGGGTCATTCGGTTGTCAGTGGGAACTGCTGAGCCTGGTGTCTGCTTTGCTGGTGTAGGAAGTAGTCATCTTTCATCTTCTCATGGTTTAACCAGGCTTTAATCCGAGTTATATGTAACACTCTGACAACCGGCATCCTTCCATTTAATAGAGCTACAGGAGGCTAACATGGGAGAGGCCAGTGGGAGTCTTCTCGGACCACGGACCTGAGGCCCTGGGTCTTGGGAATGCACCGGTGGTGCCTTAAGCAAGGGCTCTTTCACCCTCTGACTGACAGCTTGTCAGACTAACCTTGGGCCTCATAAAGACTGTTTTGGGGAGTTCTGGGCTTTGACTCAACCTGAAGCTTGTGCAAGGGGCCCTGGAGTTCCCTTCCAGAGCCACGTGTGTGTGTTTTCTTCCCAGACCCAGGAGATGGCCTCCAGCTTGGACTTGAACAGCCCCCTGACCAGCGAGGCCCTGGAGGGCTTTGACGAGATGCGGCTGGAGCTGGACCAGTTGGAGTTGCGGGAGAAGAAGCTGCAGGAGCAAATGCAGCAGCTGGACCAAGAGAACCAGGAACTAAGGGCAGCTGTCCGCTCACTGAGCGAGCAGCTGCGTGCGGAGAGGGAGACGGAGACGGGGAGCTCGGCCGCCAAGGATGCCCACCTCACGCGCCTGGCAGCCGAGCTGGAGAAGCAGTGGGGGGTCACCCAGGCCACCGCAGGGGCCGTGAAGGAGCTGCAGAAGTGCCTGCAGGCCCTGGAGCTGGGTGCCGAAGAGCGGGAGGACTTCCAGGCAGGTGTGAGGCAGCTACAGTCCCTGCTGCGGCCCCTGGTGCAGGAACTTGAGGCCACGCGGGACCCACTGGCTGGGAGACCCCAGCAGGAGGCAGAGAAGGCCCTGGACGCAAAGGAGCAGCAAGAGCCCGTCCCCAGAGGCTCAGCCTCGGCCATCCAGGACCTGGAAGCAAAGCTTCGTGCCCTCGAGGGGGAGAGCACCAGGCTCCAGGAGCTCAACCGGCAGCAGAGCAGCCAGCTGGAGCAGCTGGCCAGGGAGCTGCAGCTGAAGGAGGAGGCCCGAGCCTGCCTGGAGGGCACCGCCAGGGAGATCGCCCCTCTCCAGGAAGAGCTGGCCAGGAAGGGCAAGGAGGCCGCCCAGCTCCGGCGCCAGTTGCACGAGGCGCTGGGCCACCTGAGCACAGCGGAGGAGGAACTGGCGGAGTCGAGGCACGAGGAGCGGTGCCGGCGGCAGGAGAAGGAGCTGCTGGAGCAGGAGGCCCGGGCACTGATGCGGCAGTTGCAGCTCCTGGAGACCCAGCTGTCCCAGGTCAGCCAGCACGTGGGCGAGCTGGAGGAGCAGAAGCAGCAGCTCGTTCAGGACAAGGATCACCTCAGCCAGAAGGTGAAGATGGTCGAGCATCTGGCTGGACAGCCCGGCCCACAGCTGCCCGTGGCAGGCGAGGGCTGCGCCCCCCAGCCACAGAGCTGCCAGCAGCTGGAGGGGGGCCAGCCCAGCCATGCCGAGGCTGACCAGGAGGAGGCGCCCCAGCAGGCCCACAAGGAGCTGCAGGAGGAGCTGCGGAGCGTTCTGGAGCGCAACCAGCTGCTGGAGGGCAAGCTGCAGGCCCTGCAGGCTGACTACGAGGCGCTGCAGGGGCGCGAGGCAGCCATCCGCGGCTCCCTGGCCTCCCTGCAGTCAGAGCAGGCGAGCATCCGGCTCATGGGCGACCAGATGGAAGCAAGCCTCCAGGCGGTGAGGAAGGCTAAGGAGATCATGAAGACCCGAGTGGCAGAGAAGGATGCCGCCTTGCAGAGCAAGGAGGACGAGTGCCAGCGCCTGCGGGAGGAGGCCGAGCGGTGCCGGCAGCTGGTGGAGGCCCGGGACGGGGAGCTCCAGGAGCTGAGGAGCCAGCGCCAGCAGCAGACCGCGCTGACACAGGTCCCGACGGCAGAGAAAGGCCAAGAGGGGCTCGGCCCTCCCCAGGACGCCACCTCCCACGAGCTGGCCTCCCAGCTGGCCCTGTCTCAGGTGCAGTTGGAGGTTCATCAGGGGGAGGCCCAGCGCCTGCGGGCCGAAATGGTGGACATCCAGAGCCGGCTCCGGGCAGCGCTGGACGACCGGGCGAAGGCGCAGAGCCAGCTGGGAGTGACCGAGGCAGTCCTGGGGGAGCACAAGGCCCTGGTGCGGCAGCTGAAGGAGCAGAGCGAAGCCCTCAACCGGGCCCACGTGCAGGAGCTGCTGCAGTGCTCGGAGCGGGAAGGGGCGCTGCAGGAGGAGAGGGCCAGCGAGGCCCTGCAGAGGGTGGCCGAACTCCAGACGCTGCAGGAGGAGCTGAGCCAGGCTAAGCAGGGCTCCGTGCAAGCCCGGCTGGAGCACGCGGAGCTGCAGGAGCAGCTGCACCGGGCCAACACAGACACGGCTGAGCTCGGCATCCAGGTCTGTGCCCTGTCCGCGGAGAAGGATCGCGTGGAGGGGGCCCTGGCCCGGGTCATCCAGGAGCTGCAGGACACTAAAGAGGTGGCCACCAGGGAGCGCGAGGCCCTGCAGCGCCAAGTGGCGGGGCTGCAGCAAGAGAAGGAACACTTGCAGGAGAAGCTGAGGGTGGCAGAGGCCGAGGACACCGCTGGCGCCCTGGCTAGCCTGCAGGCCCAGCTGGCTCAGGCCGAGCAGCACGCCCAGGGCCTCCGGGCGGCTGCAAGCCAGGAGCTGGACACCGTGAAGTTCCAGCTGAGCACGGAGATCATGGACTACCAGAACCAGCTGAAGGTAATGCAGGCCACCACGGGCCAGGTGGGGACCCTGGAACACCCTGGGTGGGCCCGGCCCTAGTCATGGCTCCCCACTCCCCACAGGAGCCCCTCAGGGACAGGGCGCTGGAGAGGGGCGCCTCGGCCCGAAGCCGAAGGCCATTGCAAACAAGCCCAGCCCTCACAGAAGTGCCTTTCACAGCCACCACTTACAGAGCAGGCTGTTTTGATGAAGAGATTCCATCAGGGGCCTTGCTGTTTGAGTCTCTCATTCCCACCTGATAGCCTCAAACCCACTGTCAGTCGGGAGACCCCTACCCCAGTCTCAAATCCACTGCCCTGTGCCCCCCGCAGTCCATGACAGCCTGAAGGCCAGCCCCTCCCCTGGCAGCCTACTGGAGAATAGTTGCCGCAGTGGAGAACCCACTCCGCATGTTCTCATGTGGCCCTCTGGAAGGAGACCAGAGGCCAGCAGCGGCCAGTTGTCTGTGAATCCGGCACAGCCCACGCTCTGAGGGCCAGAAGTGAGGCCACAGCAGTTGCTTGTCACTCATCTGCTGGCAGTAGGGTCTGCAGCCCATTCCTGGTCCTCTTGGCCCTCCTCTCAGGCCACACTGCTGGGCCTGTGCAGGGGCCAGCTGCCTGGGCCACTCCCTGCGGCTCACTGGGCACCGGAAACTGCAAGTGTAGGGACTTTGGTGGAGTCTTTTTACTGCGTAACCCTGGGGGATGTTCCCCTCCCCCAACAGCTCGACATGCACTGAGGACCCTATTTTGGGGGAGAGGGTAAGAACTGGCTGCCTGTCCCCACTCGGAGAGGGTGGGGCCGTAGCCTTAGAACAAGGAACCAGTCTCATGATCCCTTTCTTCCTCCTGTCTCCCCAGGCAGCCAGTGAAGAGTCCAGAAGCTTGCGCGGCCAGCTGGAGGAGCAGGGCCGGAAGCTGCGGGCTGCGGAGGAGGCCGAGGGGAAGCTGAAGGTAGAGCTGGACGGGGCCTGGTGTCCTGACCAGGCCATTCCACACTCAGCATGTGGACCTCTCAGGAAAGAGGCCCTCTGGCTTGGTTTGTACTGGACGGGTGAAGGCGGTTCCCTGCCAGACTTCCTGTTCCCAGGCCGAGCTGTCCACAGTTCTCCTTTCCGGGCTCCTGGAGTCTGGATGACAACCCCTCCCGCCCCCGAGACACCTGGTTGGAGTGTGTCTTTCACCTTGCCCTGGCTTCTTAGGAAAGCAGGGGCTTAGCCTCTAATCCTTTGTCTTAGAGATCCCACACTTGAC